AATTCTGACTTTTTTTTGAATCTTCAATTCCCCCCAAAACTCAAAACTCGAAATTGCCAGATACAAACTTGCAACTCTAAAAAAAATAAAAAAAAAAAAATAAAAAAAAAAAAGCATTTCCATAGTAATGCAGCCCTAACTGAATGTATCACAATAGATCACAATAATTGGCTTTTTATGGTTGGTCCTTTTGCAGAAAGAAAAACTTAAATGTTATTTCAATTGAAACAACACAATTATTCTACTAGTAGAACACCTTCTGTAGTATTTCATTATATACACACACTAACTAAAACATGGAAATAAAAAAAAATATATTGCAACGCTCCCTGAACTAATGGATCTGATCCATGCACTTCTAAAGGGTTTGATCATGCTAAGATGTGATGTAGTGGTGCACAGTGTGAGCTCTCACTGCTGCAGTGCATTCTCTTTCTGCTGGTAGAGTTCAGTGGTGATTTCCAGCCTCTGCTGCAGGTTCTTGAAATGGTTCTCCAGATGCGTTTTCTCATTGTTCAGATTCATCTGGTCATGCATGACCTTCTGATATTGCTCTACATGAAAACAAAAAACAGTGCATTTAGATGCATATGTGGAAAACCAATCGGAAGATGTTCAAATGAACAATCACAGTCTTCATACCCTCCAGCTCCTGTCTGGCTTTCTGTTCAGCGAGGAGACTTTCCATGTAGCGATTCCTCTCGTCTTCAACAACACCGAGAGTCGCTTTAATCTGCGAAACAGAAACTGCATTAGAAATACGAAGCGTGTTGAATTCTCCTCAAAATTAAATCAGACGCATGTACCCTGGAGACGTCCATCATCTGTTTGATTCGCAGTCTCATGCTGTCCATCTTCTTCTCTGTTGTTCAGAACAGAGGAGAACGTTTCATTTAACCATCTTCAAGCCTCAAGCAGCCTATTGCTTGTATAAAATGGTAGCAAAATGATAAAAGACACGTATAAAAGCCCTAAATGTAGGGCTGCACAATTAAATCACAATAAAACCAAAATTCCTTGTGCGTGAAAACATACTTGGTAATAAAGCTCTTTCTGACTTCTGAAAATCACAAGCGATTTATTAGATTTAACGCTAAAATAAAGCCTCAACGGTTTAACATTTGAAACTGAGGAAATTAAGACAACCATTAGTGTTCTAACATAAAATAAAAAATACATTATTTTTTGCAAATACTGTTTTATTTGCAAAAAATAAAAGGGGGGTGGAAGTCGTGGCCTAATGGTTAGAGAGTCGGACTCGTATGAGCTGCATTTCATCTATACAGATTAATTTTCGAACTTGAAAATCTTTATTGTCCACACGATATTATTATTAAAAATGTATTATTGTTTTTATTATTAAAATGTATTTATTTATTAAAAGCTTTTGTTTGCGTAATATATGTGTGTGTGCTGTGTATATTTATTATGTATATATAAATACACACACATGCATTTTTGAAAATTTTGAAAATATTTACATGTGTATATTTATATTCATAATTTATATTATATATAAATATATAAACAACATTTTTCTTAAATATATACATATGCATATGTTTGTATTTATATAGACATAATATACACAGTATACACACATATATTATCTAAACTTTAATCGTTTGACAGCACTAAATAGTAATAATAATATTATTATTATTATTATATAATCATATTGATAAACTGCAAATTTGTGGCCAAATTGTGCATACAGCTTTTTTACTGCAGCACAAATTATCAGAAAAACTGCAATAATATTTTTCCCAAATCATGCAGCCCTAATTAAATGCATCAACAACAGATCACAATAACTGGCTTTTATGGTTGCCAAGCAACAAAACAATAGAAGCTCATTCTATAAACATTGGGCCTCTTGCAGCATGAAGAACAGAATTGTTATTCAAATTTTGAATTTAAAATTTTTTAAATCTATACTGAAATCTGGCAAATCCAAAATAATTCCATAGAAGAGTGCTTTTTACTTTAGTTCCAAAGTTTTTTTTATGAGTGTGCACTTGTAAGAACCAACTTATTAAAACTTGTTAGGAGTGGATGCTAATTAAATGCCACAGATCATGATTGCATTCTTGGTTACGTTGCTCAACTGATGCAAAAAAACAAAAACAGTTTAAATCAATAGAACAATCTGATAGTTAAGAGTTCTGAAATGGAATGTTGTGATTGACACTTTAAACAATCAGTATCTTGATTATTTCTTCTTTTCTCAGTAGATGACTTTCTGAATTTCTCATGTTTCATCTGTGGATCACGGCAGACTCAGAAATAAAGCATTATGAGTCACTCTAGATGAGAGCATCTGCTGAATGCAAATGAACACAGCTCCCCTGACAAAAGACAAAAAAGCGAAAACTAAATTTAAATAAAACAATTGGGAGTTATAAATAGAGACTGACCAGCATCTTCTCCATTAGACATTTTAGCATCATCTTTCTGTAGTTCTGCAGGATCACCGGCTCCCAGACGGTTGAGCTCTGCAATACAGCTGGACAAAACCTAGACACCAGAGAATCATGGGATACCATGCATTCACGTTGTGATATTTTGGAGAACACACTAGAATTTGTAATCAAATTTAAATAAAGCTCCGCCCGACCACCTGTTTTATAATACGCAACAAGTTTCACTCACATCAATCTCATTCTCCTTGTGCACCAGAGAGTCTTCCAGCTCTTTCTGGGATTTGTGGTAAACTCGGATCTCCTCGCTCAGTTTCTTGTGCTTCTCCTGCCAGTCTTTAGCATCACGGAGGAGCTGTCAGAACATAAATATCATTCGATTCAAGCTGACACTGATGCATGAATGAGATGTACAGCTCTGACAGCAGGACTCACAGATTTCTTCTGCTCTTTTAAAGCACCGTTTTCTTTCTCAAAGGACAGAACCTGAGCCTTAAGAGCATCTTCTCTGAGTTTGGCTTCATCCATGAGGACATGAACCTGTTATCAAATCAAAACAAACCCAAAGAGACGCAAAACATTTAATACCTTCATCTTTAGGACATGAGGGAACTAAATCAAATGTTCAGATACATCTTCAAATGACTACAAAACAGGGTTATGGTAAACTAAAACTAAAATTTAAACCTTTAAAAATGTTACCTGAAATAAATGTAACTAAAGTAAAAAAGTACTTTTTGGAATTTTATTCCCCAGCTTGCTGACAAGGCAAAATTTCTCATTGTTTAACTTGCTGTACTAAAATAACGTAATTTGAAAAAAAAAGTTAATTAAAAATTAAAGCTGTGTGTGTGTATAATTATTTGCAAAAAATAAAAGTGGGGTGGAAGTCGTGGCCTAATGGTTAGAGAGTCGGACTCGTAACCCAAAGGTTGCGATGATAATGAAGTTACACTAAAATATCTAAAATGTTTTTAAATATTATTAAAATATTATATTAAATATATTATTAAATAAATTAAAATATTACTACTACTACCTAACTTGCTGTACTAAAATAACGTAATTTGAAAAAAAAAGTTAATTAAAAATTAAAGCTGTGTGTGTGTATAATATATATATAATTTTTTTTTTAATGTTAGCAACCAAATTACTAAAACTAACTAAAATTAAAAAGGAAAATACATTAAACCAATTCAAATAATGAATAAAAACTATAATAGTATCTCAATGATACTAAAATAACACTACAAATGCATTTAGGTCATTTTACAGAAAAATCCCTACAAATCCAAGGATATAATAATTTAATAAATTATCACAAATCATAAATTATCAATTTTGTTGATAATGTTCAATGATGATAAAAAATGCATTCAAAAACTACTGAAAAAGAAAATGGTCTTAGCATTTTCATTATTTAGAAAAAACAATAAAGTGCAATGAAAAATGTATCAAAAAAATGTATGGACTAATTTTTAACCACTTTTGTGGACTGATTCAAATGTTGATATATGATTGATTTAGACAAAACTCCTGCATATAAGGAAGGGATGAGCAATAAACAATAAATTATGATATTCTCAAACTGTAGTTGATTATTAATATATATATATAAAATGGAAGAATTCAATTTCAAAATTCACTGGAACAAAAAATATACAAAAAATTTATATTTAAATTATACAGAAATTATAAACTGCAATAAACCTAATTTATCTTCTTTTTTTTTTCACTCATTTAAAAGCAATTTATAGCTGCTAAAACATTTACCAGCTGGACATAAATACAAAAATGTCAATTCATTACAGAAATATGCATACATTTTCAAAATGGACTTTTCCAAGTCTGTTTTAAAATACTCTGGTTTTGCTCTGACAGTAGGAATCCTTATTTAATTATTCACTCAATGCAGTTGCTTCTCTCTCTTCATGATTGTTAGTCTAAAAAACAAGCAGTTGTAGGATAACCTGTCAATGTTAGCAACAGTAACCAAGTATCAATGCATGATGTTTGTTATGGAATGATTGTTCGAGTCACTTCATTTGTTTTGCATAACCGTGACAATAAATGGAAATCTATAATGGCTAACAAATTGATGTCAGATCAATGTATCCAGCACAAATTACCTTTGCACGCTCCTCATCATAGCTCTTCAGTGTTTTCTGGTATTTCTCGATTCTCTGGTGCATTTTGGCAATCTTCGTTTGAGAGAAAAACAAAAAGGTTATGAAAAATCTGCTTCACACTGGCAAAAAAAAATTAAAGAAATCAAAGCTTACCTTCTCATTAAGATTTGAATTTTCTTCCTGCGTGTCCACTATTTTCTGGTTGAGCTGTGAAACGCTCCCAGACATCTGCTCCCACTGGCTCTGGAGCTTCTGGTGATGGTTCTAGTCAGAAAAACAACAAACCACATTATACTAATGTGCACAGTGATGAAACTGAGATTGTGATGGATGAGGATTCACCTTCAGCCCTTTCACTTCTTGTTGGCTGGAACTCAGTGATTTCTCAGAGTTCTTCAGCAGTTCTTCGCGCTCTTTTATCTGCAAGGAGACAAACGATCAGCTTCATCAGCCTTTACTGAAAACAATAAGCCTGTCAAAGACGAGCGAATGAAATTTACCATGCCGTTTAATTCTGTGATCTTGTTAGCAGCATCAGATTTCTCGTTGAGAAGCTGCTGGATCTTGTCTCGAAGCTGCTTTTCAGTTACTGTGGAAAATAAGATGTTGCAAAATATATTTAAAAAGTAAAGAAAATATTCTAAGAGGCTTTAAGAACACTCCCAATTACTACAAAAGAATTAAGATAATTTTACAGAAAAATACCCTACATATTAAGGTGAAAATAACAATACATTATTATGAATTATTCAATTTTGCTATTAATAACTAATATTACAATATTCAATGACGATTTAATGATGGAAAGTAAACTATAAACTACATTGAAACAAATTTATCAAAAAATAAAATAACGTTCATATTTATTTGAGCAAGTGCAATCTCGACTATTAAAAAAACTTCTAGCTGATAAAATTAGATATTATAACATACATTTAAAAAATATTATATATTTTTCTTCTCCATTAGACAAATTAAAGAAATAATGTAAATTATATTTTGCAAATAACTTGCTTGTTTTCATATTATTTAATCATGCACTATTGCCTATTTTCACATAACCAGAACATTAAATATATTATAAATTATAAGTTCTCCAACATGTGATTTTGATGGACACAAACCAAATGATCAGCTAATTTAAAAAAATCTGACAACAGCGCAAAAATACATTTTCATGACGACTAAAAACTGTAAAAACTGACAAATTATTAAAGTACAAAATATAACAGTACCACAGCATGTATGTGCCGTCATATCAACCAACCCTAAGAGATCTTAATGAGATAAAATGAATATTTAGCTGATATCTCAATCATGATGAGCCTGAGAAGTGACTTACATTGATATGTTCTGCCTTTGATCTAGAGAAGAAAAGAAGAGTTGAATGACACTGATTAGATTGAATCATTTACAAAAGAATGAAAACATTAAAGGGGTAGTTCACCCAAAAATGAAACATTTGATGTTTATCTGCTTACCCCCAGGGCATCCAAGATGTAGGTGCATTATTTCTTCAGTAGAACACAAATGATGATTTTTAACTCCAGCCGCTGCCTCAAGGAAGTTGGACATAGAGGTAAAAAATGATATAAATACTGTTCGGTTTCTCGCACAAACCGATCGTTTCGTGTCTTAGGACATCAATGTGTCGTCACGAGCCGCAGGGTTTAATTTGGATTTGTCTGTGCATGTTTTTTTTACTCTCATAGATTTTGTTACCATTGCCATGCATTATACGACTGATAGACTGCAACGGCTGGAGTTAAAAATCATAATATGTGTTCTACTGAAGAAACAAAGTCACCTACATCTTGGATGCCCTGGGGGTAAGCAGATAAACATCACATTTTCATTTTTGGGTGAACTATTCCTTTAATCACAAAGTGATTCTTACAGCAAGAATGGTCCTCCAGAAGAACATCAGTACTGTGAGGGCCCCGGCAACCACCGTAGCAACCACCGGCTCCCAGGGGACTCCGTGGAAATTGGGACCCGGTCGCCATTCCTCCGGAAGAGCAGTGATCACCTAATCGAAGGAAAAACACACAAAATATCATCAGTTTTATGATAATTACTGAAACAACTACTAAACTTGACTACTTGGTTTCTATGGAAGCCTGTTTTTATCAAGGGATATAAAAATAAAAAAAAGCTAATTGTGACTTTTTAATCTTACAATTGTGACTTTTATTCTCGCAATTGAGTTACATTTCACAATTGTGAGAAAACAAGTCAGAAGTGTGAGATCTAAACTTGGAATTGTGGGATATAAACTCAGAATTGAGACAAACTCAGAATTGTGAGATATAAACTTAAAAAAAAAAAAAAAGAGAAAAAAAAAGCTGAAAACAAATTGTCAAGATATAAACTCAGAATTGAGACAAACTCAGAATTGTGAGATATAAACTTAAAAAAAAAAAAAAGAGAAAAAAAAAGCTGAAAAAAAATTGTCAAGATATAAACTCAGAATTAAGATTTTTTTTCCTTTGAGTTTACATTCCGCAATTCTGTTATTTCATTTCCACCAGAGAATAAAAATGTCGTTGCGATTTTCTTGTTTTTTCTCTTACAACTCCGACTTTCATTTTTGCAATTCTGAGTTATCACGCCATTCTGACTTTTTCCGCAATTCTTCAAATTCAGACTTTTTTCTTGCAAGTTCACATTTACATGAATTTCCCATTTACATTGAGTTTATATTTAAACTTTTTTTTTTTTAATGCAGAATTGTGAGTTTACCTCTCTTTTTTTGTTTCCAACATGGAATATTATACAGTATATACAATTTTTTAAGAAATTGTTACTTTTTCTCTCACAATTTGCAAATGTATCTCTCATAATTCTGACTTTACATTCTACAAATCTGACTTTATAGTTCACATTTCTCACAGAATTGTGAGTTAAAAAGTCACAATTTCTTATGTACCGCTTTATCCTGTGGTGGAAACAAGCTTCCATCGGTTTCACCGCCTCACAGGTGAACCTTTCAGTTTAATTAGCAGGCCCGGATATCAAATCTGTGACCGTTTCGGATCAATTTATGCCCTTTTTAAGACTTACATTGACAAATCTGAAGCAAGCAAGTCTATTTAAGCACTGACCTTTGTCACCAGCCACATGCAGCAGAAACACAACACTAGGCGTTTACTGGACTTTCACCTCTGATGAAACCCATTCACCTAAAGCCTACAATAAGCACTTACAACTCCATTTAAAAGAGCCTTGGGGTTTTATACGATCCTTAATGGACTTAACTCACTGGGATTGCTATGAGAGCTGGATGAGAAGGGCTCAAAATACAGCACTATGTCATTATTACACAACTACTGCATGGATATTATACTGATCTAGTGTATGAATGATGGATTGCAAGCAGTTTAAGTCGTTATAAATCATACAGTTCAATCCTGAAGGCAGTGATCCGAGTCTAGAGAGTTACTAAACACTTACTTCCTGAAGTCTGGACAGGATGAAGACGAAAAAGGCTGTGTTTTCTATCTCAGCTGGTGGAGAGGTAAGGCTCAGCTGTGAATCCATTCTCTTAAAACTTATTTAGCAGAGTAAGTTAACCGAGCGCTCCTCAGAGACGGAGGTTGAAGCCGATAAACACGGTATAAATGGCGGACCGTTGGCTCATATCGGGAAACCGGTGTTTTCTGATATAAAACCGCTTTGCTTTCAAAGCGAATATATATATTTAAGCTGTATATAGAAGGACAGCACATATATACAATTAGTATGTTCTGAAATCGCGGCTGGAGGAAGATCAGCGTTGATCTCTCTCAACACGTCAACATTTCAAACCGCTGAGCTAAGTCTCTCTCGCGCAGAGCAGTGCGTCCACTCTGATCATGTGACGCTAGCGGCGGCCTCTGATTGGTTACGCCTGGTGAGCGCAAGAGGAGCTCCTATTTAGCTGTGATGCTAGCGGGTTGAAAGATTATCAACTTGAATAAACGACGCTTCAGTGAATATGTCGTATGTAAGGCAGCGATATTTCGTTGAAATTATTTGGAATTTAATCTACTTAAGGTTCCATGCATATAGTTGTCTCGAATAGAGTTTAATGAACAGGTTTAGCATGAAGCCCTATTGGATTTCATTCACGTATACCTCTATCTACACCGTCAGCTCAGCTGTCACGTGACCTGAAGCGGAAGTGACCCGTCGTGACGAAAACTTTAATGTCCATCTTATAAAACAACTTTTGATCTCATAAAACACTAAAGAAATATATTATTAGGTCTACTTAAGGAACATGCATTCCTTTATGAAAATATTTCGACAGAAAAACCCTCTAAATTCAGTCATATAGGGGATATATTTGCCTCTTTTTTCTTTTTATACTTTGCATTTTTTTTTTATTATTTGATTTTTTTTTATTATTTTAAATTAGATAGATAGATAGATTGATAGAGAGTAAGTGGAGTAATAGGTCTCTGCTATATTAAATGCATGATATATATCTGAATTTTTAATTTAGAGGCAGCTTAAAATTAAGGAACAGCTAAAAAGGAATAGTTCGAGCCAAAACACCAGCAACAACACTAACAAACACAACCACAAATGACTCCAGAAACCATTCCAGAAACATTTCTCAAATTGCTAGTTTGCTTCTCAGAATCCCAGAACCACGTAAACTCCACCAGAAAACAATCCTGTCATTAATATCACACCAATTACTCGTGCAACCCGAGTTCAGTCTGCCAACGGTTAACAAGACTTATAATGAACACATTACCGCATGTTAAAGATCCCAAACATTCTCGTATGAAAGTTTCTTTAAACTCAAGTTAAAATATCTCTGAAAAGGAGTTTAGTGATTTGGAATAGAGAAAGTTCATTTTATCAGTTCTAAACTCACTTGTTTTAACTGCACTGACTGTAGTTTACACACTAATGTCTGTTATAGCATCTCTTGCATTATTGCATTAATGTGTTTCTTATGGGCCTTAATGTCTTAAAATATGGTCTTACTCACAATTTCTCCGTACACTCCAAGATATTCTTTGACGAGAAGCACAAAACCCCAAAGGTCATCTGAAGTTGAGGAGCTGGAGGAATCACTGCTTGCTTCAGTGTCGTGGAAATCAGAGACACTTGGAGACTCCAGTGAGCCTGGTGATAGAAAACAACAGTTTTAGCTAAATATATGCAACAACAATTATTAAAATTGAAGGAAAACTCTGACACACCTGAAGATGGATCCACTTCAAAGTGAAAGCCGATGTCCACTGGGTTCTCCAAAATAGCATGAGGCCCCTTTTGAATCTCCTCAGTGTCTTCAAACCCTATCTGGGCATCTTTATTTCTGTTGAAATGGCCCCCGTCCTCCTCCAGACCCACGTCTTTAGTGCGAGACAAGTCTTCGTTCATATTTAATTCAGAATTCAGAATCACTTCAGAGTCATTCTGCTCCTCGTGCGTTTCAGGACTCTTGGGTGGTTCGGTCATTTCGATGTCACTCTCCAAAGCCTTCACCTCTTCAGAGTCGACTTTTTCATCTGGAAAAAAAAGTGCATAAAGATATTGAATAAAACATTAACCCTGTATGGCCTGACATTTGAAATATGACATTTTTGAAATGGAACAGTTTATTGAACCTTTACACAAAATATTAAAAAGAAAAGAAATGTTTGCATTTTGTTGAGAATTATAGGCTTTTATGGCTCATATAGTATGATATAGCGAGAATATGGAGGGGAAAAAATCATCTCAATTTTATTCAGAGGCCCAACATGAGCAAACATATGCAATTTGGTGCAGATGCTGATATTTATATGAACAAAAAGTGATGAAATTCTGATGCTTGTAATGAAAATCAACTGATATCTTTATAACAGCAGATACTTACAGTACGTAAAATGATAGAAATATCAGTTGTCACTCTATATCTCCAATAATATGTCTTAGTAAGATGAGATTTAAATGATCAAAACATATAATGCAATACAAAGATGATTGAGAGACGAACAAATAAACGTTCCTCAAAAGCCTGTTGATCCCGTTTGAAAAAAAAAAATCAAGTAAACTTAGGCTTTTCAGTCCAGTAAGTGTTCATCTTGAAATATAAGTTATTCTTATGTTTGCTTAAAGGGGTCATATGATGCGATTTCAATTTTTCGTTGTTTGTCATTTCTCCGATCACAAATGCAGACATGGTTTTATGTTTACGCGGCGCGATGCAATGCAACGTGTAAAAAGACAGTATAAGTCATTATAATCCGTAATTATGTCCCCACTGGATGCAACAAATGCCTCGTTTGTAATGGATTTTCATGTTTTTGTCTCTCGTCGCTCCGGCCGGACAGGGCATCACAATATGGTCAACTTCGTGCTGTGGATCGCCGGATCGGCTTTCACCGTGGACGAAGCGGAGTCCAGCCCGGAGTTGTCACATGTGATTGCCGCAAGCCTCCTTTGTCGAATCCGCCGGCCGCCGCTCACTCAAGCCGACAGTGTGTGACGCTGTGTTTCATTGTCGCCACAAAGAACCTTTTGTGAAACAGAAAGGTTCTTCAGATGTTAAAGGTTCTTTATGGAACCATTTAGACAAAAAGGTTCTTCTATGGCATCGTGAAGCACCTTTATTTTTAAGAGTGTAAGGGGTATAACATTTCCGTCACACGCTTGAGGTATTCGGCCAATCACAACGCACTGGATAGCTGGCCAATCAGAGCACACCTCGCTTTTTCAGACCGATGAGCTTTGTAAAACTCAACGCGTTTCAGAAAGGCGGGGCATAGAGGAAAAACAATAATGTACAGTATGTGGAAAATAATGTGTTTTTTTAACCTAAAACCACATAAACACATTTCATTACACCAAATACACCAAATAATGTTCTTTTTAGCAACATCATATGACCCCTTTAATTAAATCAGTAAAGATCTGACAGCAAAAGGACACGTGATGCACGAGCTGAAATGCCTTAAATGCCTTTTTTACTTGCTACGAAATCGAAACTATCAATCTGGCACCAGATGTGGTAGATTGCGTGCAACAGGTTTAACAGCAAAGATTTAATCATTTAGAGGCATTTGAAATATGATGCAGTAGATTTTATAGGGTTAAAACAAAGCAAACAGCATATGATTTTAGGTGAAACCTGAAATGAATCATAAAAACAACCACTAATTACGCTTTGGAAAGATGAGCATTGCTTTTAGTACTGCTTAAATGACCTGTTTCAGATGCAAGCAGTTCTTCCTCGACCAACGGTGCGCTGTCACTGGCCGCTGAATATTTCTGTCGTAAAGCGAAAACGATCTCCTGGAAAGCGTCTAAGATGGCAGCCTCAAAATCATACGCTTCCGGCTCCTTCTGCTGAGATTTCCGCTCTCTTTCATTCAATATGTCCTCTGTGGCGTCGAGAATCGAGTTCTCCGAGGCCTCCATGATCTGGTCCAGCGTTCGCTCGATTTCCTCCGTGTCCGTCTGCAGCTCTCTGGCAGACTTCATCTCCAGATCTAGATCAGAAAACATGGCCTCGATTTTGAACAGGTTCTTCAGTCCAAAATACTTCTGCATGCGCTCCATGTCCTCGTCCTTCAGGTGATCCCGTAAGATTGTGAGCCTCAGCACGTTATCGCTGTATTCAGGCTCCTCGGGAGGAAGACGAAGCGCGTCCTTTTCTTCTTGTTTTGTGGGCTTTTCGCTTTGTTGGGATTCGATCAATTGATTGCCTTCAGGTTGTTGGTTTTCTTTAAGTTGATGCATGTCTTCTGTGAGCTGAGGTTTAGAAGAAAGAAGAGCGTTTTCATCCTCTAAAAGCTCTTCGGCAACTTCATCCACGTCCTCTTCATCTTCATCATCTTCAGGACCCTGTTGTTCCGATTCCAGTGTGTTTTTCAGTAGATTCACGAGTTCGTTCTTCACTTTATCGATCTGTTCCTCCGTTTGGTCAAATAGAGGTGCAGTTTCTGGGCTTTCTGTTACAAGTTCCTCCTTTAACTTCTCATCTTCGCCAATCGATTCACTCGCTTTTTCGCTGTTGTTCGTAAGTGCATCCTGAGGATCGTCTGCAATATTTTCATTCTTGTTCATGCTGGCCTTCTGAAGAAGGTCTTCACTGTTTTCCATCTTGTTCGTGTCCAACTTCTTTGGATCATGTTCTTCAGTGATTTCACTAACTTTTAATGCCGGCGGTGCTTTTCCGGACTCAGTGTGCGTTTCCAGTGCTGGTTCAGATGGGACGTTTTCGCTCGCATCCGAAGGAGTTTTAGCGTCTTGTGGAAGATGAGAAGATTCTGGGATTTTAATGTTTATGGCTTCATCTGCATTAGCCAGTTCTTCAAAATCACTTTGTGCATGCGTGACCTCAAGACCAGCTTGTTCTTCAACATCAGCAGCTGAAAGTGGCGCTTTGGTGAGTTCCTCAAGAGATTCAGTCTCTTGTGTTTCACCTTCATGCTCTGTTTTGAAAGCATCTTTAAAGCTTGACCTGTCCTCATCCTCGAGTGTTTTCTCTGGTGTTTGTAGTGGTATATCTTTATCGTTTAGCTCTGTTTTAGCAGGTTCTTCATGTGCTACGTCTAAACCTGCTGTTTGTGTTTCAAGTGGCTCAAAATCAGAGTCACTTTGGTTGTGCAAAAGTTCAGAATAATCAATATCTTGCGCATCAGAATCTGATGGTTCTGTTTCTACATCCTCTGAAATGACCTCAGCATCTTGGTTTATTGGAATATCTTCTGTCTCTTCTGTTAGTGCATCTTTAGATTCCGATATCGGTTCTGATGGAACATCTGTCTTTGGCTGAACGCTATCAGAGTCCTCTTCAGTAGATTTCAGTAATGTGTCTGTTTCAGGAGCTTCTACAGATTCTGAATCAACTGCCTTTGAATCAAGAATCGATTCTGAATCTCCTGACTCTGATTCAAGATGTGATGCTGATTCTGAATCAACTGCCACTGATTCAACAAGGAATGATGATTCTGAATCTACGGACTTTGATTCATGAACCGATTGTGATTCTGAATCAACTGACTCGGATTCAAGAATCGATGTTGATTCTGAATCGAATAACTCTGATTCAAGAATCGATGTTGATTCGATATCTAATGACTCTGATTCAAGAGTCTCCACTGATTCTGTCGTTGTCATTTCAGATGCATCTTCATTCTGAGCTGGTTCTTTTGATTCTTCTGTTGAATTCTCGTTTTCTAGCAACAATGTGCTGCCTAATAACACATCTATGTCATAGCTTTCAAATTTATCGAGCCCAGTCTCAAAGCAAACAAAATCTGTTTCCTGAAATGGGAAAGAAAGATTCATGTTAACCAAATGTCACATCAAAAACGACCATACATCAGTCAATATTAACCACACCGACTTACCTCTGTAGGTACCTCCAATTCTTTATCAGTATATATATGATTTATATTAAGATAGTCCTTTGGGAAATAACCAAAGTGGTTTCCAACCTATGCAAATAGAGGAAGAGGGAAAAAGTGATCAGTTTTTGCGCTGCAGTATAACAGTGTTTACAGAAACCATAAAATCATAAAAACAGTAAAAGCAAAAATAAAATAGAACCAAAAGAATAAGAAAATAAAATACATATAATGAAAAAACAGAATAATATGCATAAAACAAGGCAGTCTGCACTTATATTTTACAACTTTGTACATGTATATATTTTTTCATATATTTCCTCTCTCATTCCAAAGAAAAGTATTAAAAACAATTAAAGAAAAAAAGAGAGTTCAATAAACTGCAGCACAAAGCACACACAAACACTGGGTAAAATAGTCCATTTTAATTAGATTTACTGTTTATTGTATACTTCAACTTTAGCTGTTTAAATTAATTTGTTTCATTAAGTTTATGGTAACACATTGATTTGTTGAAGGTGGTGTGGATGTTAGTAGTTGCTTAAAGGAATAGTTCACCCAAAAATGAAAATTTGCCCAAAAAAAAAAAAATGTATGGGAACAGATTTGGAGAAATGTAGCATTGCATCAGTGTCTCAGCAATGGATGCTCTGCAGTGAATGGGTGCCGTCAGAATGCGAGTCCAAACAGCTGATAAAAACATCACAGTAATCCACAAGTAATCCACACCACTCCAGTCCATGTTTTTAAGAAACAAATCCATCAAGATGTTTTGAAATTGAAATCATTGCTTCTGGCCAAAATGAAAGTCCATAATCCAAATTCCAAAATAATGCTTTCTTCTGTGAAAAAGACCATCCTCTGTTGTCTCTCACATCAAAATCCACACATATATTTGTTTAAAACTGTTTTGGCTTGTAAACGGTGCTTGATCTGTGCAGATTTCTCTCCTGATTCAGACCTGATTTCACTGGAGGAAGCGTTATTATGGACTCATATTTTAGCCAGAAGCAATGGTTTGAAAACACCGTAATTATAGTTTGTTTGTTTTTTTATCAGAAACATGCAGCTTTTCACTTCTCATGATGTTAAATGATGGACTGGAGTGGTGTGGATTACTTGTGGATTATTGTGATGTTTTTATCAGCTGTTTGGACTCTCATTCTGACGGCACCCATTCACTGCAGAGCATCCATTGCTGAGACACTGATGCAATGCTGCATTTCTACAAACCTGATGAAGAAACAAACTCATCCTAATCTTGAATGACCTGAAGGTGTGTAAATTTACAGAAAATTGTCATATTTGTGTGAATTATTCCTTTAACACATTTCTCTGCTACTGAAGATTTGTGCATGATATTTATTTAGTTGGGCGACAGATATGTAGACTGTTTGAGATGATAAAGTAATACTAATCAAATACTGGCATCCGACTACATCATCAGCAACACCCAAAATCATCAAACAATCAATCAATGATTAACAGGTTACTTACACTACCAGCCCACACATCCGATCTCTGCCCTGAGAGTTTATAATATACATATATCGTCTCTCCTTTCTTAAAAGAGAGAAACCGGCAGTCCGGCCCCGTGAAATCCTTGGCGGCCTTCCCTCTGCCGAGAAGCACTAGAGAGACACAAAAAACATGTTAGGATGAAAACTACTCACTTTATGTTAAAATTCTGAAAGCTTACCATATACAGTGTTCTGTATGAAAGTTGCATGAAAAATGTTAGATTTGTGCTTACTTTAACTTCATATGACTTAGAATCGAATGCAATATGGCATAAAAAAACATTGTGATTAATTCATTCTAATTTGCATTAAAAATTACGCATATTAAAGAAACAATGCAACAAATTGTAAGGGTCCTAAATGGGAATTTATTTAAGCGAAATATATCTTTAATTTCTTGAACTGGATATTTTTGGAGAGTTTTTGTGAGATTCACAAAGGTTGAATGAAGAAATTTTGTGTGTTGAATGTTTTGCAATTGTGTGATGAAATAGTACTGCGTGCATTTTTTTTAACCATTTAATGATAATGTCAATTCAAAATTTCTGATGAAAGTGGTGCTACAAGTAATAATGAAAATTATCTTTAATTGCAAATACATCTAAGTACAATCTAAGGAAAGAGGGATTGGGAATGATTATAATATTTACTGTAGAAGACTAGTATTTTTAACAGGAAAAATATATATATAAAAATGCTATAGTTAAAATTTGGTTAACTAAATTAAGTTGCATTACCATATAAAATAAAAATATTTCATATTTTAAAAGACAATATATCTGATATTTTAGAGTTTATTTTTATATGTTTAAACTTTAGTTTTACAGTAAAATCTAGTAAGAACACCTACATTTTTTTAAATACGTAACAATAAAATTATTACAGTGCTGTTTTTACGTAAAAAATAAACACGGTTTTTATTCTTTGTGAATTAATAATTCATACATCACAGAGAGATATATATCTCAACAACATCAGAAAGAATTATGTTTTTTTTCCAGTCGACCACTAATGGACAATGCACATTTTGTTTTATTATTTCTACTGAATTTTACGTAAAATAAAAATAAAAAATCGTACAAGACTACATAAAGTGTTCAGTTCAATTCTCAAATGGTAAACATATTATTAAACTGCAATGCAATATAGCAGATACTTGCATTATGCATATATTGATATTATTTCAGTTTGCGTGCATTCCACTCTAAATATAGAGAAAAATTTGTTTTTTGTCATCAACAGATCAACCTAATCCATCTCAAACTTGAACAATCGAATCACGCAGGCTGATTGTAAATAACGACCTTCCGAATCAAGCAATCGGTCTGTTTTACATGGCGATATGCAACCAGGCCTTATAATTTAACATTATTAACTGTTTCAGCATTTGGTCGTAACATATTAAAAGCATAAAACATGGTTGATTAAAGAACCATATTGAGTGTACAGTGTGTTTATGCTGTTAGCTCGACTGGCTAAACTGAGCTCAGTATCAACAAGCAGGATCTTCAATATCAACCCTCCACGCAGCATAAAAACCCGCTTCTTATTAAATTAATTTACTGTTGCATTTGTTACAACGTTACAGTATCCCGCGGCAGCGGCGATGCGGCCTTTATGACGTCAGCAGCAGCATCCTGATACAAAGTTCCAGAGATACTCACTGCTGCATTCTTCATCGGCGCATCGCTTCAGGTCCGAGAAGCGCTGCTCCGCGCTGCTCCGAAGAAAACACGCGTACAGAACAAGCGTAAAAACATAATAAAAGCAGGGCTTCGGTGCAGCCATGCTGGCAGCTGTTGATCACGGAGCCGCTGCCGACACGTCAGCAGATCCGAAGCGAACCGAGAGGAGAAGAGAACAGCCGGAGTCATGTTACAGAGCGCTTAAAGAGACCGCAGCACCAAAACAACAGACCACGCATGCGCAGGGCTATATCAGCACGCACAAGACATGCTTTTTAGAATGTTTGATACGTTTTACCATATATATATTTTTTTTTATTAGTGTTTTTTTTTTCAGGTGCATTGTTGCATAAAGTATTTGATCATAAACACAGTAATGTTTGGGACAAGAAACAATAAACATTATAAATAGATAGATATATAGATAGATAGATAGATATATAGATA